AAAAAAAAAAAAAAAAAAAAAAAAAAAAAAAAAAAAAAAAAAAAAAAAAAGCATTTTGTAAAGAAAATAATAATAGGGATTAAAAGCAGTGATACGGCATCCACATGAACAACCAATTTTGCGAGAGAAATAGAATGTTGGGGTGCTAGTTCACCAATTCGGTATTTAAACAATTTGGAAATAGAATACTTGTTGGATATTAGTGATCTCTCCTTCTGTTATTGACAAAAATATCCTGAAAAATTATCCTACTTTTTGCAAGCCAAAGTCCCCAAAGAAGGGCGTTAAAAGATATCGTTCCAAAGAATTTGTTTCTTTCCTCTGATAGGATTCTTGCACAAGGTCTGAAGAAGAGTGTCTTTGATTGTTCTTGGAAAGAACTATCGAGTTCCAAAGATGTTAAGATAGTGTGCCACCATTTTAACACAAAATCTATTAGGAGAATAAGGGGTTTAGAGTTTCAATCTCTCTTTTGCTTAGGAAACAGCCAGGTAAAAATATGATATTTGAATAGTATTTCAGCACTCTATCATTTGCATCTATCCCCTTCCTGCAAAGAGACCAAATGAAGTTGAACTTTTATTTCAAATATCAATAAAATTGTCTAGTATACAAAAAATGAAGTTGAACTTCTTTTCTTCTAAAATGATTTGTCTGGAGAGGAATTTAGAATTTTCAGAGGGTTTAAGAGGTATTGGGAAGAGGTATAGGATATTATTACATTTAGCTCATTTTTGGGGCCTCGGTTTCTCAAGAATTTTATAATTATCAGTTTGGTCTTATTCTTTTAGAATGAAGTCTATTCCTCGATAGATAGAAGTTGGTTCCCTTCTGTGGGCTAGTTTTCTTGTACGCCATTTTCTTTGCATGTGTTTTAATTATTCTAAATGAAGGCTCCATTGTTCATCAAAAGAAATAAAATAAATAAATAAAATGAGGTTAACAAAGGCGAGAGTTTTTTATTGCTACCAGGAGGAAGGAAATGTATTTACTAACACATTTGCGCTCCAGAATTCAATAATATAAGATGTTTCACAAACAAAAGTTAGAAAACTGAACCTGCATACTTTGAACACATCAGTTATGTATCACAGTCACTTGCACAATTCAAATAGATGAAGATTGACAATGTCTTCCAAACTCCAAACTTCAACAAATACATGAATATATCCACTTTTTAAGAAAATAGTTAAATGTGTCATCAAATACAACAAATCAGAAGTATTTAATTGACTGAAATAAAAAAAGATCGGAGATAAAGAGGTTAGACAGACAATCAGAGACAGGAATAATGAACTTTAGACCAGTACCATTTCCAAAACGCCCGGCGTGCCAGGATCCTTAACTGATGTCTTGTACTTGGCACTCTTCTGGACATACTTGGTTCCCATCTTCCACTTAGAGACGATTAGTGTTGAAAGTATTGATATGAAATCGATCCAACGGAATCGTTGCAAAATATTATTCGGATCCAATAAATTGGCAGAAACCAATAATCTGATAGCATTACAAACACCATAAACAACCACCACCAAATAAAAGAGATAGAGAGAGAGAGATATCAGACATGCAAAACAAAACTAGCTACAAAATCTCCAGAACTTCAAAGACTTCCCTGTATTCAAAACTTAAACCATCATAGATATATGCATGTAAAAAGCAAGGGCAGATAAAAAAAAAATGTGAACAAAATAGATACCAACAGTTTGCGAATTAAGATAAGCAAGAAATTCAGCATGCTCCATTGTTTCAGAAACAGCAAAAAAAATGGCAAATACAAAAATACCAAACGGCAACGAAGAAGAAAATAGGAAGAGGTCTTCCGAAACTCACAGCCATTAGCCTTTCGACAAGGAATAAATCCCGAAGCTGGAGTGCAGAACAAAATCGAGTGATAATAAACCAATTTTTTCGAGCGTATTTGCACTCGACCGGGATTCCGCAATCCAATAAAGCAGCAACGTGGGAAGTAGAGAATGGATTAGACCCAAATTGCAGGGAAAAGTTGGGGAAGGAGTGGAAGCAGAACTAGAACTGAAACAAAATTTATCACGGTTCCTTCTTTTCCCTTTACAGATTAAAACGAAGAAAAGCTAATGGGTAAGAGTACTGTTGAATCAAAAGGGTCAGTAGTGGTTCGCAGGGTGTAGACCTGGAAGCCAAACCACTTTTTTCTTTCACCCTTCTTAGTTTTTGTATAATAAAATCAATTTCATTTTTAAGTTTCAATTTCTTCAAACAACTGTTGTAATTTTAACCTAAAATTTAACCTATGTTGACAATGATACAACGATATCACATTTTTTTAGTTTCCAATTGTTTTTAGTTTCAATTACAAATTATTTATTTAGAAATAGAGAGACAAATTTTGAAGAGTATGCTACTTTATTTTATGATAGATACCAAATTAAAGTCCTTCGTATGAATATCGACAACAAGATCATATTACAGTGATCATTTATACTTTGGCAGAGCCGGGTTTCTTCTCGCCATCTTCATGGCATTCGAGGATTTCCCACTCGTCGAGGTGAGAAACGTTGTTTCACAATAATATTGATACAGGTAATTATTGGTATGACGAAACATTCTTTCACGACAATATACTACAAAACAAAAGAAAGCACTTCTCAAATTTACAAGCCTGTTTTTTTTTTTTTTTTTTTTTTTTTTTTTTGTTCCCTATGTATTAAGATACGAAAAGAAAGAAAAGAAAGAAGAAAAGAAGAAAAAACGCAAGAGAACTGAATGGAAGGAAAGACAAAAGAGAGAGGCATATGAATGGATTGGTCTGACGTAAGGGCGTGTTAATGAGTCAAGGCCACCCAAATTCCATTCTCAAATTTTACAAGATTTAAGGTCGTCAACTAGATAGAGCCTGAGGAAGAAGAAGAAGAAGACTTGCCCAAGGAAACAGAGGCCAAAGAAGATGCCCACACTCTGGCGTTCCGAGCACTTGTATGGAAGCTCCTGGTTTTGCTGAGTCTTAACTTGGCCCAAACTCTTCCTAGGTCAACTGTCTGAAGAACACGCCCCATTATCTGGCTCGTCTCACCCAACACATGCAGGTTCATTGGGAGAGCATGGGAGACCCACAATGCTTTTAGCTGAGATAACATCTTTGGGAAAATCAGCAGTGACACCCTTAAACAGAGGAAAATTAGGGAGAACACCAAGTAAGCTTCCCTTTTCACTATTTCATCAAACGACAAACTTCTCAATAACCGGATGCCTGTTTTTTCGCCGCCACCATCAATCTTAACTAGCTCATAACCATTATAATGTTCTAGTGGCTCCATTCCTGAAAAAAGCACAAGGTCACATGAATGAACAATTACATCTTCGCCCAACACCCTCTTCTCCACTTTAAGATAAGAAATGCATGATAATTTACAGTCAAGCTTCATCGGTGTTGACCTTCTCCTTCTCCTTCACCTCGACTCCATTTTTAGGATATCATGGGGGAGGGAAATAACCAGAACTTTAGCAGGAAACTCAATTACCTGTTGTTCTCTGGTAAAATTGAACAAGAGAAGCAAACTTTTTTGGACCACGATAATGCACCCTCGATGTCTGGTTCAGTATCAATATAGATGGTAAGCTATAAATCCCATATCTTGAGAAGACACTGCCAACGAACATGTTAATAATCAGGAAACATTCAAATATGCAAGGGAAGTAAATCTGATGTGGGTCTAGAAAGCATAGAAGCCCTTGAATCTCTGTTCATCCCATTCATTTCCCACCAACCAATGAAAAGTAATATGACCCCCCACCCCCCCACCCACCTCAAAGAGAGAGAGAGAGAGATCAAAAAACTTTCTTATCAACCAGGTCATCAATAAGCTTAAAGGTAACACATGTAACCATTTGTCATCGTCTTTATCTACAACATGTCGGAGTCATAATTTTACTGTTGTGCACATCTAGTGTAGTGGTATCATAGTACCCTCCCATCATTTTTCTGTCGTCCATGAGTATATATGATGATTTTGTAACACATTATAAGATTATATTTCTTATTATAAATAAGCTCACATTCTCGAAAACAGTATGTTGAACAAGGTTACTAAACATTAATCTTGCAAGTGAAGAAATAACTAGTCATACAACATGTCAAAGAACGAGGTGCGGGTTACAATTTTAAGTTAGCAAAGATGATGAGAATGATATATGGACTTTATAACTTCTTACCATGGCATCGCTGAAGACTGCTCAATCACCAAGTGCTCAATTTCAGGAAATAATGAATTGAGGCTGTCAAATGCAGGAAACATCTCAAGGGAAAACGGGCACCAGGAGGCATAAAAGAGTACAGCAACATTTCTGGTCAGCTGATTGGAAATAATTCCATCGAGGAAATCTCCATTCACCTACATATCAAAAGAAAGAATAAAACCAACTTACAAACCATGCACTTCAAATAATGTGGCTTTTGCAAAAACTGTAATGCAAAGGAAATAAATATCCTAAATTGATCAAGAAACGACTTTCTTTCCCATCTTGTATTCTAGACATCACGCCGGCATATTAAAAAGTATAGTGACAAAAACAAATTTCTACTTCAAACTCAATAAAAGAAAAGTAAAGTTAGTATGATAGAAGAGCAAAGCAATACACCTAAAACCCTGCATGCAAAACATTTCCCTACAAGTTAATAGGATATTAGATCCTGTCCAACATCCAAATTTTCAACAAGAAGGTTGAAGAATAAACAACTACTAGTGTTAACCCAGACACTTGGCATCTTTTTTTTTTTTTTTTTTTTTTTCCTTTTTCCTCTTTTGTCTCATTTCGCTTCTATTTGGTAAGAAATGACAGTCATACTGGTAACCCAGAAAACTAATAAAGAAGAGGGATGAGCAATCCACTCTACAAGCCAGGGAGAACACAAAATAGGACTCCAGTTAGCAAAACAAGCAAGCATACAGTTGAAAATAAAATCAGGATGAAGTGTACACCAAGAACAGGTCAACCAGTCAGCTAAATTCCTCATTTGGTCCCACCCTTCCCAAAGATTCAAGTTTCTAATTTTCCACAATTCATACAAAATGGTCTTTTCCCCTGAAGAAACTTCAAAGAAAATTCCCATTTCGGGCCTTTCCCCTTCAGTTTGCTGTTTTTGTCACAGAGTGAATCTTTAAACCACCTTTTCTCACATTGCTCCTTTGCAGCAGCTATAGATTCTTTTATTATGAATAAGATGGATTTGTCCTCTTGCCATCCCGGAGGGATTGTTGATTGGCTCTTCAAGGTCCTTGGGGGCTAATGCTTTAGAACAAGGCAAAAATTATTCAATCCGTAGATAGAATTTTCAGGAACTTTCTTCAGAAAGGAAATTGTGAAAAATCAGGTTTTCATCTCATCCCCCACCTGGAGAATGGAGCGCGAGGATTATATAGATTATAGCCTAAAAGAGAAAAAAACAAGGCTCTCCTTTCCAAATGGATTTGGAGATATCATTGTGAAAAATCAGCTACTTGGAGAAAGGTCATTAATGCAAAATATGGCTCTACTCCTTTGAACATAAAACTGGGGACTTTTTCTTTAGCATTTACCAAGAGGCTGCCGAAAGCTATCATATAAAACCAAAATCTAATTGACAATGGGAAGGCTTTCAAGGTTGAAGATGGAATAAATACTTACATTTTGGAATGATATTTGGCTGACAGAGGATTTGCTAGCTAGAAAATTTCCTCCTTCGTATGATATTTCTCTAAAGCATGTTGTACTAGATATGTGGGTGCATGATTTATACCTTGCAAAGTTATTGGGATGTTTGGTCCCTTGCTAGATTACACACTTCTTTTTGAGCTTTAGTATACAAGAACTTCAGTAGTTATTCTTTAGATCTTATTTTGTTAGATCGAAGTCCCTTTCTGTTTAAAACTTGGTTTCCATTGAGAATATATAGATCATTAAGGGTTAACCTAGAGACAAGAATCAAGCTTATAGAGGACTACCACGAGGCAATCCTCCCTCATCTTTCCTGTCCATTATGGTGCTTGATTGCTTCAGTAGACTTATGACTCATGCTGCAAATAGACACTTCACTAAAGGTTTTGACTTGGGGTGAACTTTATCGATATTAATCATCTTTAGTTTGATGATGATACAAACTTATTCTCCACAAAGGATGAACGAGTTCTATCCAATTTGTTCAGCATTGTTCATCTCATTTAGAAAGCATCCAAACTCAATGAGAAACACCAAAAATCAGAATTTTGGGGTACAACACAACCAATTGAAGTAATTGTTTTAAAGCTCCTTTGGCACTAAGCGTGTTCATTCTCCTTTCTTGGTATTTACCATAATACTAAAGAAAAATTTTGGGTTTCATTTAAAAAAAAAAACGCCAAAACATAAATAAATCTAGTCAAAATATATGTTCAATATAGCCTAGTCTACAATGCGGGATTTCATTCCACATATTTGCGCCCATGTACAAGAAAGCAAATAGTATAAAAAACCCGTAAAAGTACATTATTCACAAAAGATCAACTACCAAGAAAAATTATATTGTGCTTAAACACTTCTAATGAAGTTTCTCTAGAATCTAGATGACAACATTATGATTGACCTCACTCATCAGAACACAGAACGAAAGTTAAAAATTATGACTGAAAATGACTGCCTCCACCACACACTCTGATCGGATCATAATTTTTAATACACAAGAAAAATCCAAACACGTCTTTGTTCAGAAGTAAGAAAGTGATCTTAACCCGTGAGCAGAGAAGTTAGAGGAGATAGCATTAAAATCAAAAGTCCTAACTAACATGCGGGTCAATCAAATCAATATCCATAAACAAACGGGAATAAAAATCTAAAACCCCAGAAGAAATCAAAGGAATCTTTCTCTCTGCCTGTTCCTCCATAAATCTAATCAATTGCGAACAACAAAATTCGAAACCCGCTGCATCAAAGGGCCTTATCAGACTAAAACAGACATCCAAAACTCATACAAGAAAAATAAATTTCAAAGAAAACAAACAAGAGAAAGATAAGGAAGAGAAGTAGTACCTGAAGAAGTGGGGTGGGGGAGGTGGAGAAAGGGCATTGAGATCGAAGCCCATAAAGGAAAAAGTAGGGGTCATTAGGGCAGAAGGAAGGTGAAGAAGAAGAAGAAGAAGAAGAAGAAAAAGAAGAAGCCAATTGAAAGGACAAGAAGACAGTGAAGCAAGCAGAGAAGAGATGAAAAAAGGTAGACCGAGAAGCCATGGGCGAAGAAGAAAGGGGAAGGGGAAGGGCAGGCAGGGGAATAGAGAAGAAGAGTGAGGGCAAGATGGGGAGGGAGGTAAATAAATTTCAAGGTTTTGGGTCTTCTCCCTGCTCTTGTTTCTGGTCTCTGTGTTATCCAATTGGATTTCAAAGAAGATGGTGGGTATCGTTGTCGGCTGCCTGTGGCTTACGCTCTTTCCACGCCTTCCCTTCTTCTTTCCATTCTTTCGCATAATTCTTTTTTTAATTTTTGTAGGCTTAAATTACAATTTTAAGTCTTCGCAAACCGTGTTTCAACCTGGAAATTTTATTTTATTATTTTTTTTCTTTTAGAAGAGTGAATGCAAAACGTTCGATGGGCCGAAAAATCTAGAAACCCATGGAGGATGGCTCATCCGGCCCATTGTTTTCTCATTGGATATGGATACGGCCCATGCCCAACTTTCTTCATTCATCAATAAACTCAAACTATGCATATCTTGTCCTTACCTGCAAACATTTTGAAAAGGACGGAGCATTGTAAGTAACCCCTTTGTTAGAGTTGTATATGAGTTCTATTTTTGTGCGTGGTTTTGGAGTCTAAATGAGCTTTTTACAATTTCTCTTCAAGATTGTTGTTAGCCAATAAAAATTGAAAGAAATAACTAAAACAAAACAAACAACAAAAGGCTTATACTTACAACATTAGATATTTTGTGTTTGTGACAACATCAAGTTGTGTGAAGGACAAACACAGCTGGCTAATGTCAGCTTCTTTTGTCTTCACAACTTATCATCAATCTTTTTCAACCACCATGTTTTCTATAAAATAACTTTCTTTCATAGCTTATTTCATTCTAGAGTTCTCAAAATTTTAATCTTTTAGAAGTCATTAAATGAAGTAACCACAATTACTTATTAAACTTTAATTTCTTTTATCTTTTTAATTTAGATTATAATGTTTAAAATTAAATAAAGAATATTGAACTTAAACCATAAATATTTGGTTTCAACATTTGAATGCAAAAAAAGGTAAGGTCTAGAATGGAGATAGGAACAACCAAGTTTTAGAGGTGTTGGAGAGGATTAAAATAGCAATTTAATCTGTATTATTGTTATTTTAATCAATGAAATTAGTTTGGTCAATGCCCCCTCGCAGGAAGAGCGCGTGAATGAATAGGGATGACAATGGCGGGACTAAACAACTCATCCCCACACCAAAAACCGACACTTGGTACAAGTTTTAACCTAAAACCAAAATTAAGGAGACAAATAACAACTTCATTTCGTTTCATTCCAAATCCAATTCCCCTTTTACCCATCAATTGATTGATATTTATTCAATCAACTTCCCCCTCTGCGACTCGGCAATCCCAATCTGCGGCATCTTCCCCCTCTTCCCATTTCTCTCTCTGTTTTCTCTCGATCGTTCGCCCCTATTCGAGAGAGATCGGAAGCGGATTCGGGATGAGGGAAATCATCAGTCTTCACATTGGTCAAGCTGGGATTCAGGTCGGCAATTCTTGCTGGGAGCTTTACTGCCTCGAGCATGGCATCCAGCCTGATGGTTTGATGCCCAGGTTTGTATTTCGATTTCTTGATTTGGGTTTCATTTTGAATGTCGATCGATATCAACCACGCCCCACTTCTGATCCTCGATTACTTTTTTACTAGATAAATTCAATTTTCCCTGTTGTGATTCTCTATGGTAGGTGGGAGTGGGAGTGGGACTGAATTGAATTCGTGAATTTCGTTTACGTCTTTCTTTTGGTCTTTGAATTTTTGTGGCATTTTCCGCATCTGTTTATGCGTCAAGTTCTTGTGAGATCAGACGAGGAATCTGGACATGGGTTTAAATTTTAATTGGATGTACCTATATGGATCTCCTTTTCAAATTGGAGTAACAAGTCTGAGCTCGTAGGAATTGAAAATTCGCTTCGAGTTTAATCCAATTGATTTAATTATCCTTTTCTCCGGGAATATCAAGTCGAATGGCCAAACTTTTGGGCTTTTTTATCCTCAGATTGTTTGCTGTAATGTCACTCTTAAGATGGGAATAGATGCCTCGATCCAATTCCTATATCTGTTCAAGAAAATAAGTTCTTGGGGTCTTCTCGGAGGTCATTTTGGTTGAAACAATATTTACTGAATTTTTGGATTGGATCTTTTGTTTATGTGGCGTCTTTGATAGTGGGTGGCATAAAAAGTCGTTTTATTTACATACCCTTTCAAGGTCCAAGCATAATGACCCATCTCGATGAATTAGAACTCTTATTCTAATGATGTTTGATTACCTGCGTATGCTGCAGTGACACCTCGGTTGGTGTAGCACACGATGCTTTCAACACATTTTTCAGCGAGACTGGTTCGGGCAAGCACGTTCCTAGAGCTATATTTGTGGATCTCGAACCAACTGTTATTGATGAAGTGAGGACTGGGACATATAGACAGCTTTTCCACCCGGAACAGCTCATATCTGGTAAAGAAGATGCTGCAAATAATTTTGCCCGAGGACATTATACAGGTACATGTATTTCCATTTCGACAAGTTTTTCTAGAGTTTCCTTTTTCACTGTGGTCATTCATCACTAAACCTACTTTATTGTGTCATTTCCCAGTGGGTAGGGAAATAGTTGATCTGTGCCTTGACCGAGTTCGAAAACTAGCCGACAATTGTACTGGTTTGCAAGGGTTCTTAGTGTTTAATGCTGTTGGTGGTGGCACTGGATCTGGTTTGGGGTCGTTACTTCTGGAACGCTTGTCCGTGGATTATGGAAAGAAGTCAAAGCTTGGATTTTCCATATATCCTTCTCCACAGGTACACAAATGATAGACGCTTTGGTATCATAGACCACATATTTTTCATTGATGAAGCGTATATGAAAAGGCCACTTATATTTGTCACAATTTTTTCTCAATGAAATTTTGTTTCTTGTCAGATAAAAGATTAAAGAAAAAAAAAGAATCTGTTTCTGCTCAGTTGACAATATTTTTTATGCAAACCTTTAAATCTTTCTTACTGATCATCAAGATTCAAGTCTATTATTTAATGCTACAATATCTGTATGCAGGTATCCACTGCCGTGGTCGAACCATACAACAGTGTGCTTTCCACTCATTCTCTGCTAGAACACACAGATGTCGCTGTGCTTCTGGACAACGAAGCCATTTATGATATCTGCAGGAGATCATTGGATATTGAAAGACCAACTTACACCAACTTGAACCGCTTGATATCCCAAGTTATCTCTTCTTTAACCACTTCCTTGAGGTTTGATGGTGCTATCAACGTGGATATAACCGAGTTTCAAACTAACCTTGTACCTTATCCACGTATTCATTTCATGCTCTCTTCTTATGCTCCTGTGATCTCTTCTGCAAAAGCTTACCATGAGCAGCTATCTGTTCCCGAAATCACCAATGCCGTATTTGATCCTTCAAGCATGATGGTCAAATGCGACCCAAGGCACGGAAAGTACATGGCATGCTGTTTGATGTATAGAGGAGATGTTGTACCCAAGGATGTGAATGCTGCTGTTGCTACCATCAAAACGAAGAGAACAGTTCAATTTGTTGACTGGTGAGTTAATTGCTCAGGGTTGTTAGAATTATGAAACCAATGATATTTGTGTTATCAAAGGGTCCATATCTTAATGCTGAAGTTGTTTAGAAGTCTTGGAGGCAAATTTTTCAATCTCATCCTGAACTAAACTTTCCCAGAGGATCTTAGTTTGGTTTAGTTAATTGAAATTTCTAAACGTTATTGATTTGAGTTAAACCTGTGGCATGGGAATTTTTCAGGTGTCCTACTGGCTTCAAATGTGGTATTAACTATCAACCCCCAAGTGTTGTTCCTGGGGGCGATCTTGCGAAGGTGCAGCGAGCTGTTTGTATGATAAGTAATAGCACAGCCGTGGCCGAGGTCTTTTCAAGAATCGATCACAAATTTGATCTGATGTATGCTAAGCGGGCATTCGTACATTGGTACGTGGGTGAGGGCATGGAGGAAGGAGAATTTTCTGAAGCCCGTGAGGATCTTGCTGCTCTAGAAAAGGACTACGAGGAAGTTGGTGCGGAGGATGTGGATGAAGAGGAGGAAGGGGAAGATTATTAAACCAGGAGTGATAAATAGCTGGTGGTGTCCTTTTTCATCGTTTTCATGTTTCTTTGTTATCAAGTCCAAGCTGTGCAATGTTCCATACATGTTGACGAGTGGTTTCTGTTTTTATGATTGATTTCAAAATTTACAGTGTTAGAACTACTTGCAAATTTTTTATTACGAGTGAAGGTCTTCTTTCTAGCCCCCCCCAATTAAAGCATTTCCTTGGAAGGAATTGAGAAAATAATTAAGTTTTATATGGGTACCTCTTAAAACAAGGTAACAAAAACCAATATTTCTTCCATAAAACTAATTCTAGAAGATATGGGTATGAATAAAAGTTTGAAAGTGGTAAAGACGTAACTAACCCTAATTTTATTATCTCACAGGCCACCAACCTTGATTTATAGGAACAAGAATGGCAAAAATGGGATGCAGGCCTCCAAATCACATAAACAGGACTCTAATTTAAAGATGGTCCCAATTGTTGGGCAATAATAAAATAATTTTTTAATAACGTCCCGCGTGTACAACGACGTCGCCTTTGAATATTAACAAATTATGTAGAATTCATAAATGCCACATGGTGTTGACTTCATTATGGATTCTTTTTTTTAATCTATTTTCCCATTTCCAGGAGCTCCGCATTTAGTTTTTGAAAAAATAAGTAAATAAAGAAAACAATACGGCAGCATGAGCTTGGAGAGACGCATATTCAACTGTTCGTTTGAAAATTCCACAAACCCCTCTTCTACGTTTCAGTTGGAAAATGGAAGCAAAAATGGGTTTCGATACAAAAACACACTTGTAATCCCAATTCAACACCCACGCCATTTTGCTTTTCGTGTTTCCTCCATGGCTCAACCTCCGTGCACCTCCTCCTTTCGAACCCTTTTCTTCATCCCAACTTGTCTCGCTCTCAACACCTTCCTTCTCATCCTCTTCTACACCTCTTCCTCTTCCTCTTCCTCTTCCAGTTCCACCCATACTTTCTTCTTCTCCCCTCCTTCCCAACTCCGTCAAATCCCCACTCAGTTCCACCACTCCTCTATTCCACTCCTTTCTTCTGCTCAGAACCTCAGTTTAGAAGACACCAATGGTGGACCGGCCCTGCCTCACACTCAACCCTCTTCTTCGCTTCCCTCCTTTGGTAAAACCCTGACTTTCTTCTTCCGTTTTCTTTTGGATTATTCGATTTCATGATCAATAAATTGTCAATGGATTTCTTAATTTGTGATTTCTTTGGGATTATTCGATTTCAACTTGGTTTGATGGATGCCTGTTTTTGTGTGTTTTAGGAAGAAGAATCGAGCAAGCGAAGGGAGTGTTCCATGATGAAGACTTATTTCTTGAAGACTACAAAGAAATGAACAAGAGCTTCAAGATCTACGTTTATCCTCACAAGCGCAATGATCCCTTTGCACGTTCTCTGTTGCCAGAGGACTTTGAGCCCCACGGCAACTATGCCAGTGAGAGCTACTTCAAGCAATCTCTCTTCAAAAGCCATTTCATCGTAAATGATCCCAAGGACGCCGATTTCTTCTTCCTGCCCTTCTCCATCACCGGCCTCCGTAATGACCGTAGGGTTAGTGTTAGTGGTATCCCCAATTTCATTCGAGATTACATCTTTAGTGTTACCCACAAGTATCCATACTGGAATCGAACTGGTGGTGCGGATCATTTCTATGTTGCTTGCCATTCAGTCGGACGATCGGCCATGGACAAATCAAGTGAAGCTAAGTCCAGTGTTGTCCAAGTTGTTTGCTCTTCTAGCTACTTCTTACCAGGCTACATTTCACACAAGGATGCAGCTCTGCCCCAAATTTGGCCTAGGAAACAAGACCCCCCAAACCTTACTTCTTCAAAGAGGTGAATTATTCATGGCTATGAAAATTGATGGGTCTTCTGTTTCCCTCCTCCCTACTCCCTTTACCATAGTTAGGTTTGTTGTTGTTGTGAATGTGAGTATTAGTTTTGCTGCTTTCAGGACGAGGCTAGCATTTTTCGCAGGAGCGATGAACTCTCCAACACGTCAAGAGCTGGTTCGAGTGTGGGGTAAGGACGCCGAGATCTTTGCTCATTCAGGCCGTCTTAAGACACCTTATGCCGATGAGCTACTCAGGAGCAAGTTCTGCCTTCATGTGAAAGGCTTCGAAGTAAACACTGCCCGAGTTGGAGACTCGATCTTCTACGGATGCGTTCCTGTGATTATTTCCAATTACTATGACCTCCCATTTGGTGATATTTTGAACTGGAAGAGCTTCTCGGTGGTTGTAGCGACATCAGATATCCCAAGCCTGAAGAAGATTCTCAAAGGAATCAGCGATGAAGAATATGCAATGCTGCAAAGCAATGTGCTGAAAGTGCGCAAACACTTCAAATGGCATTCTTCTCCTGTTGATTTTGATACTTTTCACATGGTTATGTATCAGTTATGGCTTCGAAGAACAACAGTTCGACTTCGGTTGATGGATTAGAGAGAATGTTCAATCGATCTTCTGCTATTCCTACCCTTTTGCCATTATATTGCATTCATCAAATTTGTATGAAGCCGAACAAGTTCATGCAAGCTGAATAGGATCAAGCTCGAAGTTGTGTATATACATTTTTTTTTTTTGGAAGTCACCTTCTCTTTTCTTCTGTTTTTTCTCATTTTCCCTTGTGTTATGTTTCTTAAGAAATGAATAAAATGGTGAATATATTAATTGATTTTGTTAGTTGTTTCTTACTTTCTATTTTCCTTTTCCATTGAAAAATGAGATAGAATCAGTTGAATGATAACATGAAATTACACACAAAAATTGAATAAATAAAAGGGGAGTTGAGTTTTCTAAAGAGAAACAATGCGTCGGTGAAGAAGTTCTTCATCACTCTCATCTTCTTCTTCATCATCAGACACAATAATACCCTTCCCTGATAGCTCTAACCTCCCTCCCATACAAAATGATGGCCCCATACTCTCTGTTTCAATGTAATCTCCCCTCAAATCTCTCCTCAAATCTATGGTCACTGCAGTTGAGAAACCAATTTAATGAACATCTGATTCCCTTGCTCTGCACCCTCTGGTACCTCGGTTTTATCCTCGATTCCAAACTGTACGTAAAATATTCAGGGAAGTTGACAAGCTCTTCGATTGGCCTACACATCTCAGACTTGAAAAAGTAGTAACTGTTTTTCATGAGTTCTACACGACAGGTGACCACCTGGGGACATTTCATAACCATCCTAGCTACATCGGAGGAGGGTATCCCACGTCCAACAAGGAACTCTACCGGTTTCATTATCACGTGTTGGTGAAGGCTGACTATCTGTGGCATTTTCTCGATCACTTGTGCGAACCCTGCAGGATCAATCTTGAGCTTTAGGTCAAAGAAGAATTGCTGAGAAGACAATTTAGCTTTCAAAGGCAACCCAAGAATTTGTGGATACTGTGCAATCACTGAAGGAAGCATCTCCTTCCTAATCCCAAAGCTTAGCAAGCAATCTATATTGGGCTTCACTGTCTCTTCAAGATCGTAACCGAGTATGTACGCTCGCTTCTCAAGCATTCTTGCTACTACCCTCTTTGGCAAACCTAGAGAAACAATAAACTCAACAAGGGGCTTGATCATGGTTCCAACTCTCATCTCCAAAAGGTAAGGGTATTGTGTGACCATTGGCCCAATATCTCTCGGATTAACACCTATACTTACAAGTTATGCAACACATGTACTCACTGTCCCTTCAAGCTTGAAACCCAGAAGCTCAGGGTACTTCTGGAGAACATATCCAATATCTTCTTTCTCCACATCGAGTCCACGAAGAAGCTTACAACAGGAGCAAGCTCAACGATAATGCTAGCATGCAAGACCTGGGGATAATTTTTAACAAACTCACCTAGTTTCAGCCTCGGAATCCCAATTTTCTCCAAGTAACCGAGAACAGGTATTATATTTTTGCGAACACTACAGCCTAGCATTATGGGGAATTCGTTAATGTCATCAATTGTCAATCCTAACTTCTGAAAAAACTCAGACACGCTCACTCATAACTTCAACTGTAGACGGCAACTCAAGGGTTTAGGGTTTTAGGGTGTAGGGTTTAAGGGTTTAGTTTTAGGGTTTTAGGGTTTCGGGTTTAGGGTTTTAGGGTGTAGGGTTTAAGGGTTTAGTTTTAGGGTTTTAGGGTGTAGGGTTTAAGGGTTTTAGAGTTTTAGGGATTTAGGGGTTCGGGTTTAGGGTTTAGGGTTTAGGGTTTAAGGGTTTTAGAGTTATAGGGTTTTAGGGTTAAGGGTTTTAGAGTTATAGGGTTTAGGGTTAAGGTTTTAGGGTTATAGGGTTTTAGGGTTTTAGGGTTAAGGGTTTTAGGTTTTAGGGTTTAGGGTTAAGGTTTTAGGGTTTTAGGGTTTAGGGTTTAGGGTTTAGGGGTTTAGGGTTTTAGGGTTTTAGGGTTTTAGGGGTTTAGGGTTTAGAGGTTAAGAGGTTTAGGGTTTTAGGGTTTTAGGGGTTTAGGGTTTAGGGTTTTAGGGTTTAGGGGTTTAGGGTTTTAGGGTTTTAGGGTTTTAGGGGTTTAGGGTTTAGAGGTTAAGAGGTTTAGGGTTTTAGGGTTTTAGGGGTTTAGTGTTTAGGGTTTTAGGGTTTAGGGTTTTAGGGTTTAGGGTTTTAGGGTTTTAGGGGTTTAGGGTTTTAGGGTTTTAGGGTTTAGGGTTTAGGGTTTAGAGGTTAAGAGGTTTAGGGTTTAGGGTTTAGAGGTTAAGAGGTTTAGGGTTTAGGGTTTTAGGGGTTTAGGGGTTTAGGGATTAGGGTTTAGGGTTTAGGGTTTAGGGTTTTAGGGTTTAGGGGTTTAGGGTTTTAGGGTTTTAGGGTTTTAGGGGTTTAGGGTTTAGAGGTTAAGAGGTTTAGGGTTTTAGGGTTTTAGGGGTTTAGTGTTTAGGGTTTTAGGGTTTAGGGTTTTAGGGTTTAGGGTTTTAGGGTTTTAGGGTTTTAGGGGTTTAGGGGTTTAGGGTTTTAGGGTTTTAGGGTTTAGGGTTTTAGGGTTTAGGGTTTAGGGTTTAGGGTTTAGGGTTTAGGGTTTAGGGTTTAGGGTTTAGGGTTTAGGGTTTAGGGTTT